CCTCTCCTCCTCCTCCTCCTCCTCCTCCTCTTCCTCCTCCTCCTCTTCTTCTCTTCCTCCTTCTGCCTTTTTGGTTACGAACAACAACAAACCAACCCAAAGGCATTTAATTATCTCTCATGGCAAGGAGTCTGGAGGTGGATGGTTCCAGAATCAGTATAGTGCCTAAACTATGTCATAAAGGATCCTCCCTCCTTCTGTATTTCCCCTCAGTTATCCTCCTCAGCAGGTTGGCTTTCCCCCCTGGTGCTTCTCATCTCGTTGGTGACTGTTTTCTTGACTGGAAATTTAATGCTACATAGTAAATGGTAATGTGCCCTGTGTGAATTAGTGCAAAATGCTGAACGTGGAGTTTAAGGAATCTCTAAGAAAAAATAAGTTTTAAGTATTTTAGACCAGTGCCTCCCCTTCCATCTTAATTTGTGTGGAAGATAAGACCAAATTTAGGATTTTATCACTTCATTGACATTTATTAGTGTGTCTATGACACATTTAATGAGAGCAGGCTAGACTTTGTTCCCAGTTTGTAGTGGCATAGATTTTAGAGAGAGAGGAAGAGAAAGGGATAGAGAGATAGAAACATCAATTCACTGCCTCCTTTTGGCTGCTTCCTGCGTGTCTCCTTCTGGGGATGGAGCCCAAAACCAGGCATGTTCCCTGACTGGGAATTGAATTGTGACCTCCTGGTTCATAGGTTGATGCTCAACCCCTGAGCCACGCTGGCTGGCTGGGCCGCTGTTTTTAAGTCACACATATCTACTTTGGGAACTTTGTGATTATTCTTTGCTTCATAGTTTACTTTGCTTCTCTGTAGGGTTATACCTTAAGATTTTTACCTCCCCCCAAGAGAAATTATTACTCTTTCTTTAATATATTTTTATTGATTTCAGAGAGGAAGGGAGAGGGAGAGAGAGATAGAAACATCAATTATGAGAGAGAATCATTGATCGGCTGCCTCCTGCACACTCTCTACTGGGGATTGAACCTGAAACCCAGGCACGTGCCCTTGACTGGAATCAAACCTGGGACCCTTCAGTCCGTAGGCCAATGCTCTATCCCCTGAGCCAAATCAGCTAGGGCTAAGAGAAATTATTGATAAAAATGATCTTGCTTTATATGCTATATATCTTGAAGGCATTATCATTAAAAAATATATATTAGAAAATATATTAATGAAAAAGACAAAAGGGTAAAATAGTTGTAATTTAAAAAAATCTGCATGGATTCATTTTAGTTCTATATATCACGAAATATTTTTTTCAAGTTTGTTTGGAAAAAAAGTGCTGAAGCACATATGAGACTCTAGCTGTCTTCTACCATATGACAGACATTGCAAAATATATAAAACAATGTCACTTCTCACTCAATTTATTTTGGAGAAAATATACTTACTTTTAGTATAAAATGTGAAAATGAGTTTCTTATTGTTATTTTAAACTGAATGAAGGTTTTTGGAGTTTCCAATATTTTTTAAGATTACAAAGGGTTTCCGACACAGAAAAGTTTGAGAACTGCTGCTTTAGTCTGAGGATTTTCACATACTTTCTCAACTCACTGTAATCTGGCTTCTGTTCCCAAGATTCCACTAATTTCTCTGGCAAAAATTACTAATGATTCTGTGTTCATGAAACTGTTAGTTCCTTTCTTAGATCTTATTTCCATGATCCTCCCCATTGCTTGACCATTATTGCCCATCCTCCTCCTCCTTGATTTTTTTTTTTCTGGGGCATTATATCATCCCCACCCCCCATACACACACGTTTCCTGATGGTTTCTTCTTCATTTCTTTCTCTCTTTACCCCACTCCCCTCCACTTCATTCTCCTGCTCCCAAATGTGCTTTCTCTGGGGCTGTATTCCCAGCCCAGATGTCTTCATGGTCACATATATCTCCATGCCATTAACTACTACATGCTGAGTCCCTTGTCTAGGTCTCCAGCCCAGACTGCTCCACAGAGCTCCATTTTCCATCCGTCTGTTACTTATTCCCATATGTCTTACTGGTACTTGAAACTCAGCATGTCCACAGGCAAATTCACCAAGTCCTTCCCAAATCACTTGCTGCTCTGGATTTTTTTTTAATCTTTATAATTGCTACCACCATTTTTCAGCTACCCACGTTGGGCACCTTGAATAAACTTGGCAACTTCTATCAGTTTTTGATTCCCCCACACCTGTTATAGCCATTGAACCCTGCAGATTCTTTGAAGCCTGTCTCCCACCCTTCACCTGCCTTTTTATTCTGACTGCCATCATACTAGTTGAGACCCTTTTTTTCCTCATTTGATCATTATAAAAACCATCTTACTTTCCTTTGTGTCTCATGATCCTTTGCCAACAGATTCAAAATACATAGGTATGATCTTATCATTTATCAGCCGGCATAATAAAGCTTCTGATACTGACATGTAAGGCTTTCCATGATTTGATTCCACCCTACCTTGCAGCTGGATCTGCTTCAGGTTCTCTGCACAAACTCTCCAACCAGTGTTTTTTCTTTTTTAATTATGTTTTTATTGATTTTAGAGAGAGGAAGCTAGAAGGAGAGAGATAGATAGAAACATTGATGAGATGAGAAACACCGAGTAGCTGCCTCCTGCACGACCCCTACTGAGGATCCAGCCTGTAACCCGGGCACGTGCCCTGACCAGGAATCAAACTGTGACTTCCTGGTTCATAGGTCGACTCAACCACTGAGCCATACCAGCCGGGTTTAACCAATGTTTCTTAAAGTGTGGTCTCGGAAACAGTTGCCTCATTGGAAAACCTATTAAATCCAACGCCAGACCTACAGAATCAGAAGTGGAGCCCAGGGGGAACCAGTTGCCTCATTGTTACCTGGAAAACCTATTAAACCCAACGCCAGACCTACAGAATCAGAAGTGGAGCCCAGGGAATCTGCACATCT